TCCTCTTGTGTTCTTTCAAGTATGTCAAAATTACACACATATGATACTTAATACAATCTATGTAATGTAATGTATGTATTATTGTTGCTATACTGATAGATGACAAAAGGAATCTACATGTTCAGTACAGATGTAATTCTTTTCCCCCAAATATTTTTAGCCCCTTGAATCTATAGATGTGGAAGTTGTGGGTACAGAGGGCTGAGAGTAATCGTTTTGAAGGTTCCAATTCACTAGCATTTAATGTGTTTATAGTGTTATGCACTGTTATGTGTCTAGTGTACATAGTACTGATGAGAGTCAATATAATCCCCATTTTTTTCTTGTGTGTCTTTAGCTATTCTTGTGAGCTGTTAGGTAAGAGGTTGTTTTAATTTTTGGTGTTGGGAAACCAAAACTGGGAGAAATTGTTTCCTTAATACTTGAACGTTTGCTGCACACTGGGTGCTGGTGTTGGAAGACACAGTGAAACCCAGTATTCTGCTGCAGAGTCAGGCCAGTGGTTGAGGTGACATGCTATGGCCAGAAACCTAATGAAGCAAGGCACAAGGCAGTGAGGAGGAGGGCGTAGGTTAAGAAAAAGAAGGTAGAAAATGATGTACCATGGAAAGACTAGTTCTTTAAAGGAGAGCTGGAGTTGGCTACGTAGATAACAAACCAATAGAGCAAAGAATATTGTGGGAACAAGGAAGGTCTTTTCATAATGTCAGAGGGCTCAATTGTTTACGAATTTGTGAAAATTCTAAACGTTATGAAGTGAGAACATAGTTTCAGAATGTACGAAGCAGATCTTGATCACTGCAAGGAGAAATTGATATGTCCAGATGATCATCAGTGAGTCCATCATTCCTCTGACAGTAGTGGATAGAAGAAAAGCACTGAGGTTGCAGAGGACTTGAATGTCCACCAGGGGGCTCTCCTTCATAGTTTAGAACACTCCATTCTCTGACAGGAGAAGATCCATTTTTTGTGAGGACACAAGAGTATATTCTGGGACATAAAACAAGGCTCACACTAATAATGATTCAAGTTTTACAGAATAAGTTCTGTGGTTACACTGGAATTAAGAATAATTTCAATAGTGTAAGTCTGGAGTCTGTAGGAACTAAACCACACCCTCCTAGATAACCCATGTGTTAAAGAAGAATTCAAAAAGGAAATCAGAAGGTGTTCAAAATTGAATGAAAATGCAAATAAAGCACAAAAAAAATTGTGAAAAGCTGTTAAAGTCTATCTAGGGAGAAATCTACAAAACTAACACTTGTAATGGAAAAAATTTTCCTTACTTTATTTCAGCCATGTTTTATAGTTTCACCACCCCCCCATCTCAGCCCTGTGACTGCCAGTTTTTCTCCCACTTTGTTAAATTTATTCCTAGGTATTTTTATTCTTTTGAAGTCTGGTACAGATGGGATTCTTTTCTTAATTTCCATTCAGATTTGTCCATTGATGGTATATAGAAGAGACTATTGATTTTTGTGTGTTGATCAGGTACTCGGAAACCTTGCTGACTTCCAGTGGTAGCTTTGGTAGTGTTTCAGGGTATTCTTTGGAATTTTCTGTATGTAGGATCATATCATTTGCTAACAGAGCCCTACTTCCTCCTTTCTGATTTGGATTCTTCTTATTCTCTGTCTTGCCCAGCTGCTTTGGCCAGCATAGACAGTTTAGTGCTGAGGGGCAGTGATTTGAGGGGGTGTTCTTTTGTTTTTCTTGCTCTTCAGGGACAGTTTTTGGTCTTCCAACTTTGAAGGTCCTGTTAACTACGGGTTTTCCTAGTCACCCTTTATGAGATTGAGGAAAATCCCTTCTTTTCCTAGTATGTTGGGTGTTCTTAATCATGAGACATTAATTTCTTAAAGCTCTGTTTTCCTTTGTACTGTAGAAACTTTGGTGTGTGTATTTTATTGACTGGGCTGATTCCTAAAAAGTCACCAGTCACAGTCATTGCCAGTGCTGGAGGAAGGAATGCCATCACTGTGGTGTGGAGACCTCTTCTATTATTATTAATTGTGATGCTGTTGACTTATTTATTAATTTTGCACATATCAAAGGCCTGGGGAAGATATTGTGGCCAGGTAAGTCTCACATGAGTTAGTACCTTGCGTTAAATGCTTTAGTTGGCCCACAAACTGTAAAAATTGTATTATTTGTTTATTGAAAGAATAGTTAACTTCTTAGTTAAATGTTGTGCAGCTGTTTGTTGGTGATAATATAGCAAATTGTTGTACAAGTTATGTAGGGTACAAAGTTGATTACTGTTTAAAAACACATCAGAG